CTACTCACTCATGTCATGATACCAGAGTCAATACCAAAGAAGGTGTGGTAAATGCCAGAGAATGCCTGACCGAATCCTCAACGAGCAGCTGTCTCCTGGAAAAGCTGTATGTGACCCCTTCTGCCTGCTGAAGCAACGAATTTTTACCTTTATTTAATTCATTGGTCAGAAGTTCCCAAGCCATGTGCAAAATTCAGTATTCCAAATTGTTAGGAGATATTACTTTGCATTTCTCATGTGTCCTTTTGGTGTTATATAACACACATGAAAACACATGCTTCCAAAATAGCACTTTTACATTATTGCTATTTACCTCTGCACTTCACAGAAGTTCACATATTCATACATTATCTGGATAAATGTGAATGCCTTATATCCATTACTAAATTGCTGATGAAATTTTGAATGCCAGAAGATAACCTTCTGTTTTTTAGTTCTTTAAAGAAGACTCAACTGACTGTCGTCACTTTTCAAAATAATTTTTGAAATCCACATCTTTAATAAAGTTTGTAAAAACAAAGTTAAATTTGTGCTGAAGAATAATCAGCATCTTCTGATGAGTGTACAAGTGCATTGTGTGTAGCATCATGGCTAAAATTTTGTTTTTAATATTTTTAATTTATTCAGTGAGACATTTTATGGTGAATTAGATTGGAGGCCCCTGCTCGTTCAGCCAAGTTTATATTTATATTGTGATGTGAGTTTTGTAGTTCTGTCTTCTTATAGAAAATATTTTAGTCTGCTTATCTCCAAGGTATAGTTTCAATAATTTAAAAAAAGAGGTTCATTCATATTACTCTTATTTTCTAAGGAAATGGGAGAAATTATTCTTTCAGTGATACCGTGTCTTACGTTTTGTAATGCTAGGCCAGTCCTTCAGGAAGTATCTTGCTAGATTTGTAATTCTTTGATTCCTTCTCAGTTCCTTAGGGGGCAGGAAAGTGTTGAATGCCTATTTTGTATATCCCCAAAAGATTGAAAAGTAGAGGAAATGTTAGGGAAAACCCCTTTTGCGAGTGTGTGCCCTTATAAAAAGGGCTATGGATCAAGGATATGATTGATTCTGGGTAATTGTGAAAACAAAAGCCCATTTTGTAAGTTTGAGTGCTGTACTCTCAAGATGATTCCCAGAGACCCTGTGGAAAGGAGAGAAATAGTGCCGGAAGGAACTCTTCCTTCCAGGAATCCATTTATCATGCTCATACTGACATGAAGAATTCCAGGATACAGCATCCATTCTGATTTTCTTTTATGATTCCCATTGTTTCTTAATCTCAAGAAGATCCTCTTGGTCAACAAGTGTAGTATTTATAAAATTTATGGCTTATCAAATTATTTCAGTAAAGACAGTCTGACCATTCTCTTTCTATAGCCCCATGTAAGTTTGAAGAACTGAAAATTCGAGACTCAGTGTATCACATTTGCCATTGGTTTAGCATGTGTTTGTTCTTTATTAGTGTTTTTGGTGCTTGCTTGCATCTTAGGGTAAATTATTCAAGAAAAATAAACTAATAATATTACTAATTTTTAATGAAATAGTCCCTATTGTCTAATACTATTCTGACCAAGTATACATTGCATGCTATTTTTTTTTTTTTAATCCCCTCTAATTTGTCATCTTTTGTTTGGGTTTGATTGAAGGGGCACATAATGAAAAAACCATACGTAACTTTTTTTGCATGCATTTTTTTTTTCATTCTGTAAAGATTAGCGTTTCTAATATATTTGGCCTGGAATTTTCTTTGTTGGGGTATTAAAATTGAAAAGCAGCAAGTTAGAATTGAAATAAGAATTCTATTTCCAAGAAATGCATGGTATTTCTATTTTAAGACCAGGATGTGTGCACTCTTGCCAGTATTTCTTCTCTTGCCAGATGGGGTTAGTTCTTGAGGCTGAGATATTCTCTGGGAGGCAAAGAGACTCAAGAAGTCGCTTATGACTTCTGAACAGGCCCAAGCTCTGTGCCCATTGTCCCATCAAATTCTTCAGTATCAGACTACAGATCCTTTTGAAGTAGAGATTTTCCTCCTGGTGAACCAATAGGATCACGGATCTGTTATCCATATTTCGATGTGCTTTGAGAATAGGAATAGGTCAACAAACCTTTCATATACTCGGTTTTCACTCTGTGTCCTTTTTTCATTGCTTCATTCCTTTCACAGATACTTATTGGGAACAGTATGCTGGTGACAGATACAACCTATTTCCTATTCTTTTCACATAGTTGTACTTTCAACATTGGATATGATAGTACTGTCAATCATGATGAGAGAAAATATCATATAAATACTATTTTTGCTGACATAATTACAGGAGTGATGGTGTTCATGGATATTAGAGATTTTAACGAAAAAAGTGAATTAGAATTGCTACATTATGATATGTTGATTAAAGAAATTCAAGATGTAACAGTAGTAGTACCTAATCGTGTGACAAAATCAAACATGGTAGTTGTTATGCAAATAAAGCAGAAAAAAAAATTTAAACTTCAATTATTTCCTCCTCCATTAACGGTATCATCTCCCCCGTTTATGATGCCTCCACTGAGAACCACATACCTTATCCGATTTTATCTCAAGGGTATACTGTGTGGAGTTAATAATAAATGCTAAAGTAAATCTAAGAGAAAGTATTATACTGGGAAACAAGTTTCAGTGTTCGTATAGGTGTCAAAAAGTGTATTTATTTTAGTGTATTTAGCATTGTTTATTATTTGGATTTTTCTGCCGTGAAAGGAGTATACAGTACATTTTCTGATTTACTGTAAAATGAAAATTCTGCTGTAACATTTACTCTTTAACGGCTAACATTTCACTACTAATATGGAAGTTCTCTCAGTGCAAGGACTTGATCTGGTTTACTGCCATATCCCCAGCATTTATACTTGACACAGAGTAGGGACTCAATAATTATTTGTTGAATGCATTGATCCGTGTGTCCTAAACAATGGCATACATTTGTTTGGTACAGACAGCTTTCAAAACATTTTTACTTAGGTTTTCTCATTTGATTGTAACGACAGTTTTATGAGGCAGGTAGGCAGATATTTTATCCTATTTTACAGATGAAGAAAATTGTAGTTCAACACAGACCTAGCATATGACACTATCAAGGTTATAATTGTTCACTGTTTTATATTAATCATCATCATTCAATACATGCTTATGATTGTTACTGTGGGCCAGTTACTGTGCTAAACATTTTAACTAAGTTATCTTATTTAACCCTTACAACATTTTAGAAATGAAGAAACTGAGGCACCCACAAAGTTGAGAAACATGCAAGGCCATATAGCTAGTAAGTGTCAAAACTGAGATCTAGGCTCAGGCAGTGAGCTCAGAGCCTAAGCTCTCAGTATGGTGTAAGCACTGCTCTACGATTTTTAGGATGTCCTTTTAAAAAGTTTGTCAGTGTGCATATGTGAGCCAAATAACTACCACAACAATTTCTTAATGACTTTACTAAATTCTTTGTTATTACGATAGATGCTTGTTGGATTTTTCTGTAAGTTTATAAGCCAGATATAATTGTAGTTAGAGGTTATGGGTAAAAATACAATATAGGAGGAGGAAAAAAGATATAAAATAAGGTAGTCAGGCAGAATACCAGGATTGCAAGAGAGGCAGATTGGTATTCTCCTATTATAGGATAAGGCACCTCCCAGGTGATGGAGTATGAGTCTGAAAATAAATTTATCCAGGGCAGCTGAATATTTGTCAGATCAGGACATATACCTACTGTCTTATAAAAGGGCCTGCAGTCAAAGGAAGGCCTGAGCAATGCCAACCAAATGGGATGATCATGGCAGGGGAAACCTCACTGGAAGTCAGCAGGATGACTTTTTAATCCTAGTATAAGTGTTTGGAGGAGTCCCTGGGTGGCAGAAACAGTTAAGCACTCAACTCATGTTCTTGGGTGCCGTCGAGTCAATTCCGACTCATAGTGACCCCATGTGACAGAATAGAACTTCCCTGTAGATTTTTCTTGGCCGTAATCTTTATGGAAGCAGATCACCAGATCTTTGTCCCACAGAGCTGCTGGGTGGGTTTGAACCACCAACCTTTTGTTTAGCAGCCGAGCGCTTAACTGTTGCACCACCAGGGCTCCTTAACACTTGACTACTAGCCAAAAAGTTGACAGTTCAAACCCATCCAGAGGTGCCTCAGAAGACAGGCTTGACAATCTGCTTTCAAAAAGCCAAGTCTTGAAAGCCTCATAAGCACAGTTCAACTCTGCAACACATGGGAGCTTCATGGGTTGAAATCAACTTGACAGCAACCAACAACAACATAAGAGTTTGGAAATTCTGGGGTGAAAACACTGTCTCCAGCTTGAGCTTGTAACTGCTTGTTAAGGGGTGCATCTCACCCTGACTCAAGTATCCACAGTTGCTGAGAACATGCTACACAAGCACTAGCCTCTAAGACAACAATAGTCTAGAGACAGTCCCACTACCAATAAGCTACAGTAGTCGCGAGTATGAAGGTTACTTATGCAGAGGGAATACATTAAAATCCTTCTTTTTTTCCTAAATGGAGATTGACTTTCATATGCCCAATGGTGCCATAATGAAGTAGAGATGGTACAGTAGAGTCGTTAACATTATTTATAATCTGTAAAAACCAAAGACTAAGAAACTCCTTGATGATAAGCAATGGAAGCACCTTTGGACATACGATGGGCTCTCCTCTATCTTTGCTGATAATTTGCTGGGGGTGGCCTTGTGTAAATCATATCACCTCTTAATCTAAATCTTTATTGCCATAATGGCCATGTCCTATACGCCAAATTATAAATCACACCCTAATCATACTTAAGATACATAGGGAAAAAGTAATAGCTTTTTATATTTTTTAAATACGTGGATTAAAATGTGTGACTAATGTTTAATGTACACGTCTTTAACGTCAATTCTGCACCCATTGTTTTTTGATACTTCTGAAGATTATTCTCACATGCAACAAATTTGCCTTTCCTTATTCAAATTTGTTTTTCCTTAGAGCAAATTGGCCAGGAGATGTTGGAAAACCTCAGTCATGACAGAGAAAAGATACAGCGAGCACGTGAAAGAGTAAGTTGAAGTGATACACTCTTTTCAAAGCTTCAGTAAGTGATTAGACATAAAATAAAGAGTCTTTGGGACGTGAATGGACTCCTGGGTGGTGCAGACAGTTAACCACTTGACTACTAACCTAAATGTTGGTGGTTCAGACCCACCCACCTTGGAAGAAAGGCCTGGCAATCTGCTTCCAGAAGGTCAGAGCCTTTGAAAACCCTATGGAACACAGTTCTACTCTGCACACATGGAGTCACCATGAGTCAGAATCCACTCAGTGGCAGCTGGTGGTGGTGATGAGACATGAATGCCCAAAAACCAAACCCGTTGCTGTTGAGTCGACTCCCACTCATAGCAACCCTATAGGACAAAGTAGAACTGCCCCTTAGGGTTTCCGAGGCGTAAATGTTTACGGAAGCAGACTACCACCTTTTTCTCCCACGGAGTGGCTGGTGGGTTTGAACCACTGACCTTTCAGTTAGCAGCTGAGCACTTAACCACTGCACCACCAGGGCTCCTGGACATCAATAGTCAGTAACAATTACATAGTGTAAGTATGTACCAAAATGAGTAGGGTAGAAGAGGTATGTAGAGTCTGGAGAGAGAAAAAGAAAGAGTACCGGATGGAGAAAAAAGAAGCTGACTGTTTATAGCCCTACCCTGGAGTGTCCCCAGGAGGATATTTTATTTAGCTCTATCGCTTCAAAGTTTACAGAGGGAGATTTTTTAGTATGCCATTTTAGAGCAAAAGCTTTGAAAATATTGATGTTTCCTTCTGTTTATTTCATTTCTGTTTATATTCTTAGGAACTTGCACATTCATAAATTGGAGATTAACTACCAGATGTATATTAAACTTGGTCAGCCTGTGAGATGTCTGCTTTTATATCCAGTTCAAGTGTCCAGTTTAAATATCCTGGGGTTATCTATCACATGTAATTTTCTGAATATGAGAATGTTCAGAGTTTGTATAGGTGTCAAAATAGAGTTATTTCAGTATATTTATGCACTTTCATTATTTAATTTTTTATAATGAAAGAAAATTTGTCCTTGCCAGAGCTCTTTAAAAATAATTGAATTACACGAAGATTCATTTTATTTTGTTTTGATGCCACGTCTCTCCTCCTAGCTTCGGGAAACAGATGCTAACTTGGGGAAGAGCTCCAGGATTCTGACAGGGATGTTGCGAAGGTAAGAATAAGGTAGGGACCTGTCTTCTCTCTCTCTCTTTTTTTTTTAAACTATGTTTTTTATCTAATTGCAACTGGGCGTTTTACAGGCTTCTGCACTTAGAGCTTTTGCACTAAGACCTTCTGCACTTAGTACCCTGTGTCAAGACCCTTTTGAAATGACAGAGCACTGATATTAACTCTTGTTTGGAAAGGACACATACTGAGTAAATCAGATTAGAGAGAAGGTTTGAGCTGGGGGGTTACCTCAAGCTATGAAAAAAATTAGGGTTAGACATGAAGTATTTTTTCATAGCCTGAGGAAGGCCCCATGGCAGGAGCAGGCTGGATTTATTTTCTGTTTCCATAGCCTCCTTCTTGGAGAGCGAATGTGGACCTGCCATTTTCAGGAGCACAGTTGCTGTTAGCTTTGCTCTCTTTCCTTGTTTTTATTTTCTTTTTAAAGAGATGGTGTTTGCAGAAATGCATCCATTTTATACATACTTAAATAAGATTTTGGAAACCTAAATATTTTCTGAATCGAATTCACATGTGCTAGAAAACAAATGTTCATGTTTTACATGTGTAACCAACCTTTGATTGTGGAATATATTCTGGAGGGTATGAGAAAATAAGAGAATGAGTGTGGCTAATAGTCTATAGTCTGTATTTTTTATTGTTCTGAAAATCGGAGCCATTTTTTACTTAAGTGTATTCAACATGGAATTATTTTACATCCAGAATCTACCAAGTACGAGTATTTTCTAGCATGACCTTCAAATTAGAGCTGTGGGTAGGAAATTGAGTGAAGACTGTTGGGAATGGCCCTAGAATAGCTTAATTGGAATTTTCAAGAAAACCTTCTTTATAGTTGATACTATAGAACCAACTATTTTAAAGTAACTGAAGTCTTCTCTGATCTATGAACGATAATTTGCTCAAAGTGTCGGTTTGCTGTGTTAGAGATCTATTGTGTAATAACCAACCAAATGTACAGTCCGTTAGTCTTCAGGGCTGATGTGCTTTCTCTATCAGCCTGATCAACCTCAAGTCTAAAGTTCTCAGGACACTCCTCCAGCCCAGACTGACCTAATTCCACATTGCCCCTTCACTTCCTGGATGCATAGTCCCAACTCAGAACCATAAACCACCAAATTCTCTGATTAAGAGCTATATATAAATGACATAAGAAAAACTCAAATCCACGGAGAAGGGAAGTGGCAACGGAAAGGAATGCTTCAGTGCCTATAGACAATAAAAAAGAAAAAAGGGACAAAACCTCTTGCTTCCCTAGGAGGGCCCCTGCGATGTGAGCTGTAACAAATATTCTGCATATGTCTCTATTTTGTCAAATCTCATTAAAGAGTCCTCCTGCTTTATGTCATTTGTGCTGTCCAGAAATCATTCATCATTTTTAGTGTAAACCAAAAAATCATGCAGTTATTTAAATAACATCATATTAATGTTAAAGTTCAGCTGTCATTTAATGGTATGGCTTAATCAGATGTAGCATTTAGGAAAAATAGTTTATTCAGGCTCTACGTGACTTTCAGGTTGGCAGATTCAAATAAGGATTTATGGGTTTCTAAACGAATGTATTTCTCTCCATGTTTCTGCTTGATGTACCTCACCCTTTTGTGCAGGACACTGCAGACAGTTACTTCAACAAATAAAGCATCTTCTCATATTGTGTTTGAATAAATTTGCAAGTCATTTAGAGAGGGTGAAGCACAAACAACTTCTGCAACCTTTGACTGGGCTTTCTGTAGAGAAATCATACTAACACGATTGTTTCATAAACCTACAGAAGAAAATTACTCTGGTGAAATCTACTTGGGTTCTCTTTGTAGGCAAGCTCGGTCAATCACTGATGGATCTCCTTTTGGGATGTGTCTAGAGTAGGAACAGAAATAAAAATCCCCCGATAGACATCACCTTGCTAAGTCTGAGCCAAGGAAACTCTTAAGTCCATCTGTGAATACATGCGGCATTGTTTTTCACTAGGCACAGCTGGGACCTCGGTAGCCGCCACGGTATTGAGGTACTTCTAATCAATGCCGTTACCTAAACGGGCTTTTTGGAACCCAGAGCAGATGGTGGTTTTGTTTTAGTTTCTAATTACCATCCCACATGATATACATTTTATTTTGGGCTCAGGAAAAGGCAAAAACATTTTACCAACCTCCTTACTTCATTATCTTTGGTTATTCCCTGGAAAAGCAGTCTTCAGAGAAATAGAACCAGGCTTTATTTACCAGAGTCTTTTATTAAATGCTCCAGTTTTGCTTCCTCTGTTAAATCCTTCTCTCTCACATGGCATTCTCTTCCAGCTATGGTGAGGTTTTACTTCAGAAAACCAAGCCACGTTCTTTTACTCTTGTTCTTAACAAAGCTGCGTAGTTGTGTCGTGTGTCAACAGGTGCTTCTGATTTAAGAAAGGTTGTAATATTGAACCGTGTGCCCATCTGTCACCTTCAAAAATGTGTAAAAGAAGTAAATGTCCTTTTTTTTTTAACAGTGTAACCATTTACCTGCGTACAACGTAATGTTATTATTGTGTAACGGAAAATTTTGTGCAACTGATAATTTGATAAATAGCTAACTACTCTAAAACGTCCCAAACCAAGGAAATATTTTATTTAAAAGAAAGGTTACTGATTGTTTTTAATTTTTTAAATCTAGATTGTTAAATTTGTAAAATGAGCGGCACGAGCATTTTATTACTTGTAGTGAGTGATTCATTGTGAAGACAGGTGAAACCAGTGTTCCATTGGTATCATATTCTGTACGTATGTCCCCTTGGTCATCTCCAAGACTGAACAAAAACAAGTGGGGACAGAAAGAAGAGTAATCATCAAAACTTAAGTTTATAAAATCCCAAACCAAACCCAACCCATTGCCGTCAAGTTGATTCTGATGCACATAAAATCCAGCAGCCACTAAATGATCATCTACCACTCATGCTCTTTAATCTTCATATTAACTTCAAATAAGGTAAAACTCTCTTTCCTCCTTCCTTTTTCTTTTTAATTTCTCTCCATCTCTCCTTTCCTCCCTCCCTTCCTTCCTCCCTTTCTTCCACTTATTCGTTTCCTCGGTATATATTAAAAAAAAAAAAAAAAAAACCAAACCCATTGCTGTCGAGTTGATTCTGACTCATAGTGACCCTATAGGACAGGGTAGAACTGCCCCATAGAGTTTCCAAGGAGTGCCTGGTGGACTGGAACTGCCAACCTTTGGTTAGCAGCCATAGCTCTTAACCACTACGCCACCAGGGTTTCCACGATGTATGTTAGTATGTGTTTAATGCCTGTATACCAGGTCTTCTTGGGGTTCCTCAAGTGAATCGATTTGATCTTTGCCTTCAGAGTGCTTCATTCTCCCAGAGTGAGAACATGTGCATATAAGGTACTATGGGAATTCACCAAATTATCTGATTCTGAAGGAAACCGTTAAAGATTCTATAACTCCAACTAATTGTGTTGATCATTAAAAAGGCCACCAGGAAAACAAATAAGCCAATAGAAAATATGATTTAAAAAGCTATAAAACAGAAGTGATTTAAAAAATGAGAGAAATAAAGATGGTTTATCAAATCATAATACAAACAAATTTTGAAAGGAACTAAAATTTGGAGAAGGTACTGAGATTTATCTAGCTTAGTGAGACAGCAACCGTTTTAACAACAACAAAAATCTTCTTCATGTAACTACACTACTATATTACCAAAAGAAACAAAATAAAGGAGAAAATTGGTCCCTTCAAAACTGTAATAGGAAAACCTGACATCAGAATACAGATACTGATTTTCTGGAAAGTAATTTTTCTTCTGTCTTGACATAAGATGGAGAGCTATCCAGGGACAAACTGTTCATTTCCTGGCCCTATAGACAAGAGATTTAAATAAAGTCGTAGTCAGATAATAATGAAAATGGTCACGAAACAAATGACCATTCATGTGGTAACTAGGGCCGAAGAAATAGATTTTTCATTGACTTTCATAAAATTTGATTATTATAATTGGTTGTCTTAAAGTGTCACAGATACACTGAGAGGCCTAAATGTAACTCTTCATATATATGCATATGTCTCTGTGTGTGTGTGTTTTCCTGTGCATTTGACTGGGAAGTCTTATTGAATCAAACAGTGCCGGCAATCAATGAAAATTAAAAAATGCAGTTTTTCAAGATTCTTAATCAGGAGACAAAGGAAATGATTCTATTTCGTTTTACCTCTAAAGAGTTAATAATTTCATCAGAAGTAGTATATTTGTTTCTAAAATGTATCTGGGCTCTTCCTCAGGAATGTGGTAAAGTTATGCTTTGAGAGCTCCATTGACATAAATCTGGAGGAAATGTTACACCTATATGTCGGCCCATTTGCTGTATGTATATGTTGGCAAAATACTTACAAAAAGAAATGATGTATATAACATTTGAAAGAAAAAAAAATTTTTTTAGGTGAGATCTCAATATCAAATAAGTCCCTTTTCCCCACACTACTACTATTTGCCCCATTTCCATAGATTTTAAAAAAAAATGAGTATTTCCTTTAAATAAGTGGATTTTGTTTATTCTTGCAGTATGAAGTACCTTTAGCGTGTAGCTGCTGAGAGGTCTTTTGTAACTAATCTATAATATAAAAGAAGCAGAGAGGATTAAATGCAGTTGACCCAGCTAGCACTATTCTTAGTCATAAAATACTATTTAATACTTGTATTTTTGTTGGAGCTACTTCTGACTCAAGCTGGGGACTTATTACTACCTGTCATTGCTATCACATTTTACATTTTAAAGATGGTCTTGTTGCTTTGGTAGAATGATGGGTAAAGCATCTGAAAAACTTAAAGGTACTGTCAGAATGATTCCTAAGAGTATACCAAACAACACAAAACCCTTTGCCATTGAGTCAATTCCAACTCATAGCAATCCTATAGGATAGGGTGGAACTGCCCCGTAGGCTTTCCAAGGCTGTAATGAAGCAGACTGCCACATCTTTCTCTTGTGGAGCAGCTGGTGGATT